CCTGCCAGCAGGGGTCAGTTCTCAGAGCTCCCGGGGGCCACGTGCAGCCCCCGAAACGTCCCCAAACATCGAGACTTTGCAGGTGCAAACACACGTAAATCATCGTCTGGATTTGCCCCCAAACCAGCGTGGGGCTCCATCAACCCCCCTTTGTATCTTTTCTAGACATGATCCCTGGGGCAGCAAGTGTGGCTAGTGCAGCAGGGAACCCAGTGAGCAATACCCAGCCCGTGCCAGAACGCTGCACCCAGGAGGAGCCAGTGCCACATGCGTACTTCACAGAGACGTGGCTGTGGGACCTGGTGCCTGTGGGGTGAGTGAGGAGGTGTCACAAATCGTCCCTGCGGAGTGGCCTCCAGGCCATTTCCTGGATCCCGTCGTGGTCGGCAGGGTGTTTATCATCCCGACCCCATTGTCCTTCGTGGGGTTTTCATTCCCACGCGGTGCCCGGGAGCTCCGACGCTGAGAACATGGGAGGGGTTTGAACTCCCCGGAGGGGGGCATGGAGGGTGGCACATGGGGAACAAGTGGGAGGGGCCGGGCATCCCGAGCAGGGGGAATTGAGGCAGAGACCCAGGAATAGCCCCCTGACAGGGAGACGTGTCTGGCTGCGGAAGGGGGGATCCCCATCCCGTGGGACATTGAGCCCTGCCCGGAGAGTCCCGGGGCAGGGAAGGATTCTGAGCTAGCCGGCGTGGGGCAGAGGAGGGGACGAGATGGGAGCACTGACAGCTCTTCTCCTCTCTGCTGTCCGGGATTGGCCTGTTTCTGTGCCACTGCCTAGGCTCCAGCCCAGCGGAGGGTCAGGCAGGGACGTCTCCGGTGGCTGTGCTCGTGGGCGCTTCCCAGGGGGCGGCCGCGTGTCTGACGCTCTGTTTGTGTCCGTCCCGGTCCAGCGAGGGGGGCTCCAAGGACGTCCCAGTCTCGGTGCCCGACACCATCACGGAGTGGAAAGCTGGGATGTTCTGCATGGCGGAGGTCGGCTTTGGGCTCTCGCCCACGGCCACCTTCACGGCCTTCAAACCCTTCTTTGTGGAGCTGGCCTTGCCGTACTCCGTGATCCGGGGAGAGACCTTCGCCCTAAAGGCCACCGTCTTCAACTACCTGCGGCAGTGCATCAAGGTGAGCGCCGCCCCGGGCTGACCGGCTGGGTCTGCTACGGACGATGACCTGGGGCTGGGGAGCTGGGCAGCGGCGCAGGCCAGCGAGTGGCACCGGCAGTCACTGGCTGTGATCCTGTGACCACTGGGGTCAGTACATCGCGGTGAGGGGGCCTGAGCCCCAGAGGGGTCACGTCTCGGCTGGAGCTGGCGCGTGTGAGCGCGTCCCCCACAGCCCTAAGGGAGCTCTCGTGTTGGCCCCACAGGTGCGAGTGACGCTGGCAGAGTCTGCGCAGTTCCAGGTGCAGGCGGGCGAGGACAGTGCCTACACCAGCTGCCTCTGTGCAGACGAAGGGAAAACCTTCCAGTGGGAAGTGACAGCGAGCAGCCTGGGTAAGGGGCGCTGGGGGCTCCGTGCTGGAGGGGAGGGGAGGGGCAGGGAAGGGGTGAGGGGCTCTGCAAGGGGGGGCAGTGAAGGGGTGCTGGAGCCTTTACAATTGGGAGGCAGGTAAGGGCCTATGGAGGCTCTGCGTGGGGGACAGACCGGTAAGGGGCATTGGAGGCTCTGTGCTGGGAGTGAGGAGGAGGGCACAGAACAGGGTCACTTGGGCTTGGTGCCGAGGGGAAGGGGAGGGGACAGGAAGAGCTGCGGGGAGGGGGGGCGAGGACACCCCAGCAGAAAATCCCCTTTCACGTTAACCCCTCTGCCAGGTGGAGCTGGCAGCAACAAGGGTCGGGTTCAATATCTGGGGCTTCCCCTTAGCAGCACAGCACAGAGCCAACTCGGCCCCACTCACTGGCAACGCCTCCACTGCTGCTGTCTGCAGCTGGCTCCCAGCTGCCGCTGTCTCTCTGCTGCTGAGCCACTGCGCCATAGCAGGGCACAATCCAGACTAATGAGCAGCTCTGACACCCCTGCCTGGCCCCCTTGGGTGCCTTCAGTAGCTCCCACCTGGGCCGCTCACACCCAGCCCCAGCGTGCAAGCCGCACCCTGAGCGTCTGTGTGTGACTGCAGCCTGCCTGCCACTCCCGGGTTACACTCTGGCTCTCGCCACCCTGGGTTATACTGCAGGGCGACCCCAACATCCCCCAGTCCCAGATCTTCCTCCAGAACGGTCTGTCCTGTCTCCCCAGCCCTCTCCTGGCAATACAAGTTACATTGCGGCCGATATTCCTTTACGAGAATACCATGCACTCGTCCTGTCACCCCACATGGAGTTGCCCAGACACTTGGATTTAAACACACTGGATTAGATAAAACAATCAAACACATTCATGAACCACAAAGAGAGAGATTTTAAGTGTGTACAAGGAATGGGGCATAACAGTCAGAAATGGTTACAAGAAAAATAAAGAGAAGACGTTTACTCCTGGGTAAGAGGATCGGCTGCTGCTGGAAGTGGTGCGAGGGGCGCCGGGAACTGGGAATACTGGTGCCATGCTTAAAGACCCCGGACCACACCATCGTCACCCCGACCGCCAGAGCTATGCTGGAAAGGACCCTGAAGGACACCATCCGCTGCAACTATGCCGAGAATCTCAAGCGGAAGCCGGACCAGGGCAAGGTGTTGGAGCACCTTGGGGGACAGCAAGGGGGACGCCAGCAACCACTTCCTCCCCGGGGCAGCTTCACCAGGTTCGCCGACTGGCCGTTCGTCCACAAGGCCTGACTTAACTGCATCCCCCTCAATGGAGCCATCCGCCACGGCAACTGGGACAAGCGCTGCAGGAAATGTGGCTACGCAAACGAGACCCTACCCCACGTCCTGTGCGGATGCAAACAGCACTCCGGAGTCTGGCGGCACCGACACAACGCCATCCAGAACCGGCTGGTGAAAGCCATCCCGCCGTCCCTGGGGAAGATCACCCTCGACTCCGCCCGGGACAGACAGCTGACTGCAACCCAACATCATCATGACGGACGCAGAAAAGAAGAAGGTCCTCATCGTAGACGTCACGGTGCCTTTTGAAAACCGGTCACCGGCCCTCAACGAGGCCCGAGCACGGAAGGCATCAAAGTACACCCCACTGGCCGAGACTCTGAGAGCCCAGGGCTCGAGGTCCAGATACACGCCCTGATCATGGGAGCCCTGGGCTCGTGGGACCCCCACAACGAGCCGGTTCTGAGAGCGTGCGGAGTCAGTCGACGCTATGCCCGGCTCATGAGACAGCTCATGGTGTCCGACACCATCAGGTGGTCCAGAGACATTTATATGGAACACATCACAGGACACCGTCAATACCACATTGAGTAACCGAGACCGCCGACCAGGGAAATAACCCACTTCCTTCCTTGACGGATCCAGGGACGCACCCCACCCATGTACTTATCCGCTACACCGATACTGACTTGGACTCCTTATTCATTCCATGGGTGGCGTACCCGAGCCCACTTATCCACTGACACTTTAAAAACCCTTGCACCCCAATCTGGGTCTATGCCGGTTATGCAATATGTATGTATCTTTTCATCCTTGCAACCGATACCTGTAATCCCTCATAACTCAAGTCTGACCCAGATGTACAGTACCTTCCCTCTTAACTCATGTATATTTAATTTAAACATTAACTTTAATAAAATGTTTAAGTCTGTTCTTACCTGCCTTAACAAACTACATCAGATTCAAGCAAAGTTTCTCCCCACACGCTTCCAGCAGTCTCACTGACCGAGCCCTGTAGGTCAGGACCCCTCTGCCGTCCCGCTGGCCTCTGCTGCGATGTCACGTTCTGAGGTTCCCCCCCTGAACGCAGCTGTCAGTGATTTCAGCGGGGAGGGGGCAGGTTCTGGGTGGCCATTCGCTGTTCCCACACAAGGGCTAAGGCAGAGAAACCCATTACACTCCACTCATCACTTCCCTCCGTCCTTCCCTTCCCCCCTTTCCTTCTCTCTCTTTTCTCCCCCATTCTCTCGCTCTCCATTTCCTCTGCTTTTCTCTGTCTTTTTCACCACCCTCCCCCTCCTCCTCCCCCTTCCACTGTTCTCCCCCCTCAGACCCGGGCTCCTCTCTCCCTCGGGCAGGGGCGTTGGTCTATCTAACGGGGCGTCTCCCGCCTTGCTCTGCAGGGGAGGTGAACTTCACCGTCAGCACCGAGGCTCTGCGCACCGAGGAGCTGTGCGGCACAGAGCTGGCCGTGGTGCCAGCCCAGGGGCGAGTGGACACCGTGATAAAGCCCCTGCTGGTCCAGGTCAGTGTCTGGTCGGGGCCTCTGGGCAGAGCGGAGGGAGATCCGGTGCCTGGGTCTCACCTCCTGGGGGCCGTGGGCCGAGTCTGCACTTGTGATTGTTCTTTGTCCTGCCACAGAAAATAATACCCCAGCACCACGTCCCGTCCCGGACCCTGACCTGCACTGCCCCTTCACGTGGCCCAGTCCCAGCGAGATCCGGGAGCTGGCGGGAGAGTCCTGGGGCAGACAGAGACGGGGGTTAGCCCCAAGGGGGGTGGCTGAGTGTGACACACGGGAGGGCTCGAGGGGGCGGAGGGAACTAGCAGAGGGAAGCTCCGCGCTGAAGAGGAAGAAGCCGCGAGATCTGCTGGGCTGGGAACAGTCTCCCCGGGGAAGGGACGAGAGCCCCATCGCTGGGGCGCTGAGAGCTGGATGTGCCCGAGCCCCACAGCACGGGCTGTAGGGGATGACCCTGCCCTGGCTAGGGGCACTGGCTGACCCAGCAGGCCCTGTCAGGCTGTGACGTGCACGGTCCCTTCTCCTGACCTTCTGTCTGATGCTCCTTCCCCACAGCCGGGGGGGATCCTGGAGGAGAAGGCGCACAGCTCCCTGCTCTGCCAGGAAGGTAGGATCCCAGCGCCTGTGCGGGGCTCAGTGGGTGTCACTAACGTGGGGAGTCTCTTGGCTGCGGCACGTCAGTGATGGCTTGGCCGCTGGATGGCCCAGCTAGGGGCCCAGGAGGCGCCAGGCCGGACCGGACCAGGGGGCATCCAGGCCAATGCCCTGCCTGGGACAGGGTCCAGGCCCAGCTGCCCGGGGAAGTTGCACCCCCAGTGGGCAGTTATGGAACCGTCTGCCATGGGCCGAAGGCTCGAGCACGTCCGGCTCCTGCTCCCGAGTCTCACTGGGCCTATAGGTGCTGATTTCGTGGGTGCTCCGGGACTGGAGCACCCATGGGGAAAAACTGCACCCACTGGCAGCTCCCCGCCCCAGCTCACCTCTGCTCCGCCTCCCCCGAGCCTGCTGCCGCTGCTCCGCTTCTCCCCACTCCCAGTCTTGCTGCGAAACAGGTGTTTTGCGCGGCAAGCCTGGGAGGGAGGGGGAAGGAGGGGAAATGCGGCGCGCCCAGGGGAGGAGGCAGGGATGGGGATTTGGGGAAGGGGTTGGAATGGGGGCAGGGTAGGCGTGGAGTTGGAGCGGGGCCAGGGCCGGAGGGGCGCAAGTACCCGCCGGCGCCAGGTAAAGTCGGCGCCTATGACTGGGCCCATGTTGCACCAGCTCCCCTCCCCTGCAGCCTGGCCCCCGTGTGTACGATGCTCCCTGCAGAGCTCGTCACACCGGCTCTCTGGGGCCAGGAGAGGGACCGAGTCCCACAGGCAGGACCCTCCGCTGAGAACCCCCAGCCCTTGTCCTCAAGGGCACGTATGTGCCATGGTTGGGGGAGCTTGGGGTTGAGAGAGGGGCTGTGACTGGGCGAGAGCCCCAGACGGTGAGGAATGGAGGGATCTGATTGGCTGGAGATGGGCAGGTTCCCAACAGGCCTTTAACGGTATGTCTTTGCCTTTGTGTTACGCAGACTCCGAAGAAATCTCCTTGCAGCTGCCAGCGAATGTCCTGGCGGGGTCCGAGCAGGCCCACGTGACTGTCTACGGTAAAGAATTCCCCTGCCCCATCCCTGCCAGGGCGCGGTGCCCTTCGCCAGCCAGCCCGTCTGTGGGCCAGTGCTCTGATCAGAGAGGCCGGGGCATCCTGGATGGAAAAGACCAATGAGGTCTAGTGGGTGTCTCGGGCCAGGGCAGGACTGGTCCCTGCAGTCTGTGCTCCAGGGCCTCATCCCCAGTGAGGGGCAATAGACTCACGCGGTGATGCCAGGAAGCTGTGCCAGGGCATTGGCGTCTTGTCCATTCATCACCACGTATCCACGTAACCCCACCAGGCCTGAGTTGAACTGGGGGCTCTGGGCCCCCGCATGCCAGGGCTCCACTGACGTGGTGTTAGGGACGGGGCAGCTGTTGTGCAGCCTGGCAATTCTCTGCTTCCCTGACTCCTTTGGTGCCAGGAGACATAATGGGCACGGCTCTGCAGAACACAGACCGTCTGCTGGCCATGCCCTACGGATCCGGAGAGCAGAACATGGCCAGGTTCGCTCACAACATCAACACCCAGCAGTACCTGGAGAAGAGCGGGCAGCTGACCCTGGAGATCAAAGACAAGGCCCAGGGATTCCTCCGGAGAGGTGAGTGTCCTCCCGCCCCTGCGCCCCCAGGGCATGGCGGGGCCATGCGAGGGCCCTGTCCATGCCACCTCTGGGGCCCGGGTTCCAATCCAGCTCCAGATCAGGGCCCTGGCTGGCTCTGGGGGTCAGGGAATTAGATCCTTGACCTTTCCTTTCTGGGGCACCAGTCCTGAGGCACAGGACATAAGGACGGTTTGACTCAGGGTTCAGGGAATGGGAGAGGAGCCCTTTCCCCTCTAGGGGGCGCTGGTTGGGATCCAGCCCCAGGTTGGGGCACTGGAGTTTTGGGGGGATCAGGGCCCTATTCAGCCTTAACTCCGTCCCCCTATTCTAACCGACCCCTGGAATCTCGGAGTCTCAGCGTCGTGGGGGAGGGGAGGGCTAGTGGGCCCCACGGGGCGCAGGCTGGGGTGGATTGTAGCCCCTGGGGGTGAGCGGATCCAGGACTCGCTGTCTCTCTCCCATCCCTGCAGGCTATCAGCGCGAGCTGCTCTACAAACACAACGATGGCTCTTACAGCGCCTCTTGGAAGAGAGACGCCCTGGGCAACACCTGGTGAGGGGCCGCACGGCACGGGCGAGTCAGGGCTCTGGGTGGGCAGGGCCTACCAGGCTGCAGCCTGACCCCCAGCCCCACTGCTATTCCAGTCCTGCTCGCCACACAGCTCTGCCCCACATACTCACTCGAAATCCCCCCGTTCCCATCCTGGGCGCCCCTGACAGCTCTGCTCACCCCCCACAATGCTGACCCCAGCCCCGTCCCCCACGCACCTCCCTCCTGGCCCGCAGCATCTCCTGCAGAGTGTCCCTCTCACGGGGTCTCTCCCCACCCAGGCTGACGGCCTTCGTTCTCAAGTCCTTTGGCCAGGCCAGGGCCTACATCTCCATCGACGAGAAGCACCTAGAGGACGCCCTAGGGTGGCTGCAGCGCCACCAGCTGGAGAGCGGCTGCTTCCGCAGTGTGGGGAAGCTGTGGAACAACGCCCTGCAGGTGGGAGGCTGGGGGGATGGGCAGACGGGATGGGGGAGGAGGGGATAAGCTGGGGAGGGGGGTGGGGGCCCCCCATGGCAACTGATTGTTGTGACCCGTGTCGGTTTGGGGGATTTCCCTGGGTTTTTGGAATGGCTGAATGGCTGGAACGGCCGAGGCAGCGGGTTCTTGCACCGAACGAGGGAGCAGCCCTGGCCCAGCCCCCCTGGCTCCTGCACAGCCCGGTCTCCCCGCGGGCACTGAGCAGACCCCGCACGCATTGCCTGGCACGGAGAGTCTGAGGGGCAGGGCCCAGCCCAGCCCTGAAGTCATGGGACTCCCACAACTCCCCATGTGGCTCAGTCAGAAGGGCGGTCGCGGTGCATCATGGGAGATGTAGTCCGATGGAGCCGAGTCCATGGGGGAATGGGGGCACGAGGCCGGTGCAGCTGAATGTTGAACCGGTTTGCAGTGGAAGGTTTAGATTCAGGTCGCCAACCCAAGAGGCTGCGATTTGGGCCCTGCCACCCCACAGCAGAATGTTGCGTTTCCATTTTCCCAACAGAAATCGAAACGTTTCAGGATTAGTAACGTTTTCCTGCAAAGTTTTGGTTTTGTGGAAACTGCATCGTCTGTCGAGAAATCATTTCAGCAGGAAATTCCCACCCAACTCGATTCACAGCCTAATTCCTGCCACTGCCCCGGAGTTTGCAGGGAGCCGGGACTCTACGGGAGGGGCCGGGGCTGTACCCGGCCGTTCAGGAGCTAGAAGGAGACAAATCTTAGGCAAAGTCCAGATTCCCGCACGGGAGGACTATTTAATGAGCAGGAACTCGCTCCGTGGGGGCGAATCCCTCAGCCTTTGCAGAAACGGCCCCTGGTCTTCACAGGAAATCTGGCAAATGTCAGCTCAAACCAACTTCCCAGTCTCTGGTTCCAGGGGGGCTCAGATAGGATTTTATACTGAAATTTTATACAGCCTTGACAATGGAGTAGGTACCGCCTCTCCCTATAACAAAGCTGTGGAACTCACTGCCACCCTGTGGCCTCCCTGGCTGCTATGACTTGGGGCAGCTGCTTGGGACCCAGATGGGCCTGACAGGTCCCAGCAGGAGGCAGGACCCAAACCCAGCCACTCGGAGCGCTGGAGCCGGGTCTTCTCTGTCCCAATGGGCTTGTCCTGGGCAGCGGCTCACCTGCTCCGGGCAACGAGCCCTGCAGTTCGGTCTGAGCCGGCTCCCGGTGTCTCTTTCCTCCTCAGGGCGGCGTGGTGGACGAGCTCTCTCTCTCGGCTTACATCACGGCAGCGCTGCTGGAGCTGGGGCAGCCGCTCACGGTGAGGCCAAGCCCGGCTGTCCCAGGGGAGGGGCCGGCAGGATTCGGGCGGGTCAGGGGCTGTGGAGGGGCGGGTTGGTAGGGGGAGGGGAAGTCAAGAGGTCAGTGGCGGGTTGGTACCAAGGCGGGGGTCAGGGTGCTGTGGGGGGCAGGGGAGAGGCAGGTTGGTGGGGGGAGGGGAAGTTGACAAGTCCGGGGGGGTTGGTACCAAGGTGGGGGTCAGGGTGGTGTGGGGAGTTGGGCTGGGGTCAGGGTCGGAGGAAGATTCAGCAGGTTGGGGAGGGGCCGGGCTGTTTTGGTGTCTAGCGCTCGGGGGAGGGGGTCTGGCGAGGCTTGTGGGGTGCAGGGTGTGGGTGGCGGTGGGGGGATGGGTCGGGGGAGGTGATGACAGGCTGGCGGGAGGGGGTATTTGTGCCCCATGGGGTGGTTGCCAGGGGACGTGCCCAGGCGCAGAGCGTCTCCTCTGGCCGGCTCAGCCTGACGGGGAGTCTGTTTGGTGTCTCCCCCGTCCCAGGACCCCATGGTGACCAGGGCCCTCCAGTGCCTCCGGGAGTCGAGCACCAGCGACCTCTACACGCAGGCGCTGCTGGCCTACGCCTTCGGGCTGGCAGGGAGCACTGAGCTCCGGGGCACCCTTCTGCAGAGCCTGGCCCAGCACAGCGTCAGCGCCGGTACCGGCAGCACCTCGCTCTAGTGCTCTCCTCTCTGCCGGCCTCTAGACACAGGGCAGGGCCAGCTGCCCCCCACGGCCCTGCTCACCCAGGTGTCCCCTGCCCCGGGACCTCCTCAGCCTGGCAGCGGAGCTGTGTCTCCGTGGCCCAGTCAGTCCGTGGTCTCTGCTGAGGCTGCCAGCGAGGGGCCGACGCGCTGGGCTCCGTCGTGGGGACACTTCTCCCCTCAGAGCTGGAGTGAGATCGTCCCGCCATTTCCCAGGGCCCAGCGCACGGAGCGAAGGCGGGCGAGGCTGGGTCGCTGCCAGCCTGTGGTGATCGGAGCTGAGAACCTAGAGGGGCAAAGCCCCATTTCCCAACCCAGCCCTCTAAAGCGCCCGGGGCCAGGAGTGTGACAGGGTCCAGTGGGCTCAGAGTCCGTGGCGCAGGGCTTTGCGTAGGCAGCTCCCAAGGGGAACGGGCCATAACCGAGCCCTGGGGAGATGCCAGAGGATCCCAGCCCCATCCTGTGTTGGGGACATCCCAGCTGGGGAGTCCCTGCCCGAGGCTTCTCTGCTTGGCCCGGTTAATACTGGGAGGGGAACGGACTGCACTGGGCCGGGGCCGTGGCCGGGGCTGGGGCCGGCTAGGCCCTGCCGTCTCTGGGAGAGGGGGTTGTACAGGGAAGCAGGTCTCTGGCTGCCCCCTTGTCTGCCCCATGTCCCCCAGCTCCAGTTCCCCTAGCCTTTCCCTGCACAGATGCCCTTGGGTTTGTGCCACTCCTAGCCCAGCCGTGGTGTGAGCGATGCAGCCTGGGGCCAGCTCCCCATAGGGCGGGAGGCCAGGTTGGGTCCCTCACACTCGTCATGAAGCAGCAAAGAGTCCTGTGGCACCTTATAGACTAACAGACGTATTGGAGCATGAGCTCCACTTCTTCGGATGCACTCGTCATGAACACGCTCCAGTGATCTCTGTACGTCTCCTCGGCGCCATTCGAGCTCAGACTGAGCCGTGCCTGGAGCTGAGGCCTGGCGTGCTCGGTTCCTGCCGGGCCCTGGGGAGACGTCCCCCCACAGAGGGGAGCCACCTGCGTAGTCCGCGCGGCTCTGTCGTGTCTCGGCTCAGGTGAAAAGTCCCTTCTCTCCAAGCCCCAGCGCGGCGGCTGGAGCTGGTCTGTGCCCGCGAATTGTGTGTGTCGCCTCCTGCCCTGCCCCAAGGCGGGTAAGAAGTGCTGGGAGCAGCACGTGGCTCCTGCCCCAGGGAGGGGAGAGGTGGGGGCTCTGCTGCTGGGGGCACCGAGGGACCACCAGGCACTGGGGTAAAACAGCCCTCGGGTATCAGGACCTGTCTCCAAGGTCACAAAGACCCCGTGGAGAGCGGTGTTTACCAGGTGTCAGCGCCATCCATGCTCTTCACCTGGTCATGCTGCCCTCCTGCCCCCATCCCCGGTTGGCCCTCATTCTGTCAGGGGCTCTCTGCCCCCTCTAGCAGTGGTGGCACGAGGCATAAGTAGACTAAGCAATTGCTTAGGGCCCCAAGCAGATCATGGGGCTCCCAGTTTGGTATTACCCCCAAAACCCGTTCATCTAATGTAACATGGCCTGTTTAACAGGGTGTCGGTTTGGGGGGGGGTTGGGATTGTGATGGGTTGGACCCCCCTTCTGGGATACCACCTGATGTACTGGGATTTCACTGAGCCTGCCAGGGTTCCCTCCGTGCGTTGCTGAATTAGGCTCTGCGGCCTCTTGCAGCACACACACAGGTAGGGCCACACCCAGCTGCAGACACAGACTGACGTCAGCTCTGTGTGAGATGACTCCCCCAACACTCACGTGCACACCCCTTTGGGAGATAAACCCAGAATAATACTGTCTGGCACTGTATAGAAAAATCTGCACAGCGCAAACTCGTAAAAATCTGCCCTCTTCCTCAATGTGAAGAGAGATGTGCCTGACTTCCTGGCCCCCCACCCCCCAGTTCGAAAGTGTACAAATTGGGTTATATTATAAATAAGAAATAAGTTTATTAACTACAAAAGGTGAATTGTAAGGGAATATAAGAGAGAACAGCCAGAACAAAGCAGATTACTGAGCAAATAAAACAAAGTACACAAGCTAAGCTTAATATACGTAAGAAACAGGTTACAAAATGTAATTTTTTACCCTAAATGTTATTTTAAGCAGGTTTCAAAGTTTCTGTGGTTCAGAGTTCCAGTTATATTTCTTTTCAGACTGGACCCCTGTCTCAGTCTGGACTCCCCCCTTGCCTGCCCTCCAGGTGGCTTTAGCAGTCTTTCTTCTTGGGCAGACAGGCCATGGAGAGGAGCCCCCATTTGCCTTCCTCCCCACCCTTAACTAGCATTTACATAAGGCGGGAATCCTTTGTTTCCCAGACTTGACCCCCCTTCCCTTCCAGTGGAAAGTTACAAGAAGTCCCAGGTAATGTTTAGTATCAGGTGACAAGACCACCTGACCCAGCAGTGTCACAGTTACATCCCTGGACACTTCCCAGGAGGGAGAGAGATTAGTATCTTCATGGTCTTGTTCCTTCCTGACGGCCCATCAAATCTGATGGCCTGTCCTCGGTGGGTGTCTTCCCAATACACACCCACTTGTAATGGTTACATAGTCCATATTCCTAACTTTAGATACAGAGATGATACATGCATAAGAATTGGATAATCACATTCAGTAAATCAGAACCTTTCCAATGATATCTCACATGAGCCATCTTGCGTAACGTGTATCTCAGTGATGTCATATTAGTCTCATAAGCATATTTTCATAAAGAATATGGAGTGCAACGTCACAGGGCTATTTTTTGGTTTGGGGCTATAATGCAGCTAATATTTGTAATGGGCTGGTGGGGGTGGGGGGAATATTCCTGTTAGGGCTCCATTGGGTTAGCACCACCTTTGCCGCTGAGCGGCTGCACCACATAGGTTAAGGGGTCACTTGCAGCCAGTGAGCCACCGGGACTGAGTTTTTAGCTCAGGCAGGAGAGGCTCAGGGGTTTTGAGTCAGAGATCCAGGGTTCAGTCCCTGCTGATGACCCACCCAGGGGTGTTGTGTTACACTTGTGTAGCCCTCCTGTGCGCTGTGAATCAGCTGCCGTGTCCTGCCCCAGAGGTGGCTGCATTCAGTGGGGAGCAGCAGTCCCTCTGGCCCGGGAAGCCCCTGGGGCCCCTTTGGAAAGCAAACAGGTGACCCACTGTGTTGTAACTGCAGCCGTGGGGCTGTCCCTCCCTCGGCCCCTCTCCTAGGGGGACAGCTCTACTGGCAGAGGAAGGTGAAGGTCCTGCCCAGCCCCTACGGGAACCAGGCCCCGTCGGTGGAGATGACGGCTTATGTGCTCCTGGCCTATCTCTCCCTGCCCAACGTGTCTGCTGCCGACATGGTGACCGCTGTCCAGATCGTCCGCTGGCTCAGCAAGCAGCAGAACCCCTACGGGGGCTTCGCCTCGACGCAGGTAACACCCCTGCCCTCAGGTAAACCAGCGCTGGGGGCCTGGTGCAGGAAGGGGTTAGGAGCCCCCCGGGGACTGCATCTCAGAAGCTGAGCTGGGGCCCTTCCTGGGAGAGGGAGTCCTGGGTGCAGAGCCTCCTCATGGACTGGGGCTGGGGCTGGAGTCACTACTCTGCTGGGGGCTGGGACATGGGGCACCAAACGCCCCCGTGGCCGAGGGGCCTGGCTGTCACCCCCCATGTCAGTCACACCTGAGCACTGGGTGTCTGCTGGGGGAGACCCGGCGGGTCCTGATCCTGCTGCAGTGAGTCTGAGCCGGGCTCCTCTCCCCAGAGCGTGACAGCAGCTCGGTGACTCTCCTCCCCAGGACACGGTGGTGGCCCTGCAGGCTCTGGCCAAATACGCAGCCCTGATGTACAGCGCGAGCGGGAATGTGTCAGTGACGGTGAGCTCCCAGGCCGGGGCCTGGCAGCAATTCCACGTGGAGAATGCCAACCGGCTGGTGCTGCAGCGAGCGGCCCTGCAGGAAATCCCCGGGCAGTACACGGTGCGGGCCAGCGGCAAGGGCTGTGTCTTTGTGCAGGTGAGTGCAGGAGCCCCGGGGACCAGCCGGCCCAGCGGTGACTGGCTGTGCCCTTGCCCTGCCCCACGGCGCCTGGCTCTGGGCCCAGGCTCTGATCTGCTGTGGCGGAGGCAGCAGGCTCTGCCGCAACCCTCTTGCTTGTCTCCCAGCTGACTCTGCGCTACAACGTGCCG